CACGGTCTTCGCATTCGAAGCCGCAATCACATTTGAACTCGTCGTCTACCGTCCTATGTCTTCGTCGACGTTCTCGAAGGCCTATGTCCCCGGTCCTGAATTTGACCTTAATCTTTGTTCCTGCATCCATTGGTCCATGTAGGTAATCCTTGAACCCTATTCCTTCCTTCAACATTCCGTACACTTCTAGACCCTCCTTATCCTCGGATTCTTTCCTTAGATTCTGTTCTTCTCTCTCGGGGAGGGGGGGGGCTGTTTGATTGTGCGTCCTTGTGGTTGTGGCTGATTTACGGACTTGTGTAGGGAGCCTCAAACACGAATGAGTCTAAACCTATTAGCGTATACTCACCGACTCGCCACACTCTTAGAGTGGGCCCGTTCCCTGCGCACAACATTTTTGGGGGTGTCGCCCCTATTCGAGGGCTACATTGCTTGTCATAGCTGACTTAGCGTTAGGTTTAGGCCGCTTTCCGTGACTTCTCCGGCGGTGTCGTCGCGCAGAGCTATTTCGTAAGCTGCTTGTCATTGTACAGCCTGTGGACCTTTGCCTGCTGTGCCGAAAATTGGAATTCGACGCCATTCGCCCGAAACGTAACCCCATAATTGCTTTTTTCTCCATTGCCCCGCCAATGGCTCTCCCTCCGTGATTGCGCCGCCCGGCGATACACCAATCCGACCGCTTCAACACACCTGCTGCTGTACATGTCCTCAGACGGACCACGTCGAGTTCAACCTCCAGTCCGCCGTCGTGGAAACCTTGGAGGAGGCCCAGGAGCGAGAAGGGAGAGAGGGCGCGTCTGTCAGCTCTCATTCCCGACGGAAGCACGCCTTCCGGCTAGTGTCGACATCCGCGTCGAAGGAAAAGCCTTCTCCTGCCTCTCCCGCTGCTCTTTCCACGGCGTCCTTCGGTGAAGCTAGGTCATCGAGGTCTGGCACGACTCCGTGCGAGGCTGCCTTGGCGAAGGATGCGGCGGAGGCGGAGGAGCGAAACTCCCGCCATTCTTGGTCGCCGGCTAGCCCCTGCAACGGTGGTGGCAAGCCGTCGCGGCAGGTGTGGGTCCTGGCCGCGACAAGCGAAAAGGTGAGCGAGGCGGAACGGGCGCTAGTAGTCCCACACCCGCGAGGACCAGGACTCCATCCCCTGAAAAGACTGACGGAGTAGGCTTGCGTGATCAAACACAACCGTCTGCTATTGCCAAAGGTGCGAGAGAGGTAGAGAGAAACAACCACAGCGAGAGAGAGAGCAGCACAAAAATATTCCATGTGTCATCCAAAAAAGATACGTCATACGACGGAGCCCCAAATCTCCGTAGATCTGCTACACACTCCACGTATCGGGTATGCATTAGCTGTCCTGAGCGAGCACCAACGTCGAATCAACAAGCTCGTGCGCTCATACCGTCATGCTGCCTTTCATCTCAGGAGCGAGCAATGTGGATGCAGGCCATTCGAGAGGCTATATCTTTGGGTCGGGAGTTGCTCTCCTGTGGGGAGGCGGGGTGTGAACCGGTGAGATCATTGTCGTGGCGTCAGCACACACCACACATCTGTATCCGATACTGATACTGTACTACTGTACTGCTGCACGTCGGAAAGTTAAGGTCCGGTGCCCCTCTGGTGTTGTGTTGGGAGGAACTTAGTACAATACCAGGAGTGACCGAATGTCGCAATCTACGTCCCTCTTGACGTCAAAACTTGAATGGTAGCCTATGATATGGGTGACTTGTTTTTTTGTCTCGTTAAACTTCATATTGTCTAGGTCGCTTCGACATTTGAAGTTGCCTCTGCAGGTATCGCCGTTCTGGATTTCTCGGGCGCGCGGGTACTAATCAGCCCAGCTTGCCTGCCACCATGCCCTGCCTGTCTTCGCTACTAGTTACTACCGCTGTGGTGTTACACGTGGCCGCTGCTGAACATATTTCATTCGTTCCTGTCGCCTGCTTGCCACCCGCCGCCGATGCTGCTGCTGCTGCTGCTGCTGCTGCTGCTGCTGCCACTATGACCGCGTTCGCTGTTGTGTTTGTTATCATTCACAAGGGACCTCTGTTCGCTTTGGCGCGAAGGATGAGCGAGGAGCTAGAAGTCCGCGATCGACATCACCGGCTTCGTTTTTATCGCTCCTGCTTCTTAGGTAAAACTTGGAGATCTCACGCGTGTGTGTCGGGCTTGTAGTGGTTTCGTGTCCTGTCACGGTGCATCGTGGTGCAAGTATACTTTTCGTGACAAAGTTTTTTGTTGTGCGAGATTCGATCAGGGTTTTTTTTCCGGCACCGGCCATGTCTAGTCTTTGAATCCCCGTTCCGACGCAAGATATGCGATTTGCACGCTATGCGGAATCGAAATACGGACGGTGTACCTGTTGTTCAGACGTACCTACTTGTTTGTACATGTTGTGACCGAGTTTAAGAGGTTTCCATGCCAGCGAGGTACCTGAGCGGCGGGAGGGCTGTTTTTGTGGTGCTTCTGTTCAGGCCGTGGGCGACGTTGTCGCTACTGCAATCCTCATAGATTTTGTTGAGATGCGGTTCATGGGTGCCGTGCCATCTGGGTGCGTTCCTTTGGTTCTCGAGGTGGCCTACGCCAATGTGTCGATCGTTAGATGCATGCACGATCATTGTGAACAACCAAGAATTTATTTGCTTGTCGCGCGACACGGTTTGTTTTTCTGGCGATAATATGCCACATGCATCGCACGTCTGTTGTCGGCGCCGTTGCCAGGCGAAGACGCGGTCTCTTGGTTGCAATCGGAATGCGGCCCCTGTTCAGTCGAGGAGGCGTTGAGGCGAGGAAACAAGATGGTCGCAGCGGGGCTCATCTACCACTGTACCTACGGGCATAGCCTTGAGAACAGCCGTCTTTTTTACAAGTGAGCGACAAACGAGACATGGCATCAATTTTGGTTTGTGGTAGGATTTGACCGTGAAGTCGCTGCTGGCAGAAGACGGCAGTTTTGTGCGCAAACTAGTGTTTAGCTGAGTAGAGGCGCGCGGGAAGAAACCATTCCAGTCGTCCCTTTGCACCTTGTACATACACGTGTAATTATGGCCATCATTTTCGGCAATGGCGGCGGGCGGTCACACGTGTAGCAATGCTATTGTGTTTCAGAGGAATTGCTAGCCTTAATCGCAAGACACACATCGCTCTGGCTGATCGTGCCCCCCCCCGTCGTCCATGTACTCCAACACGCCGGTGCAAATGAAGGTTTGCCAATTCCGTAGTTTCGGCGTCGGGCGGCTCCAGGGTATCACTCTCCCGTCAAACATCGGGAGAGAGAACCGGCGCCAAAAGCAACCGCTTTGGCGTCAAGGGCGTCGGCTACGGAGGGGGGGTCACAGACGGCAATCGCCCCTACCGGAGCACGAACGATCTGGCCGGCATCGTGAGCAGAAGCAGCGGCGAGCACAACTACGACCACCGCCGGTATTTTGGGGGGGCAGGAGAGCGGGGCAGCAGCGGGGAAGGCGGCGGGGGTTCGGACGCGTCGTCGGAAGATAGCGGCAGCGTCGTTTCGGTCGACAACAGCGGGTCGGCCGTCTGCCGCGGCGAAGCGGCCCCCCCATCCACGGTGGATGGCGAAGGGAAAGGCGTGGGGTCGGGTGTGGTGTTGTTATCGAAGAGTGTCGTGGCGGCGACCGCTGCTGCTGCGTCTTCGGACGGACGGAGCGGTTTCCGAGAAAGTTCTGGCGGTCACGCCGGCGAGAAGAAGGCCACAACGAGGAGGATTGCCAGGTGAGGACCGAATGGCAATGGCGGCGCTGTGAGGCGGTTGGGGCACTGTGTGTGCGTTGGTCGCTTGTCCGGTCGCGCTGTCTGCTACCATGCTCTGGAGGCTTGCGCCAGCGGCTTTTTTCTCTCTTTCATGCCTGTTCATTTCTCTCTCTCGCTTCTTTGTCCCTGTATCTGGCTGCGTGTCTGCGTCCATATCCCCCTCGTTGCTGCCTCTGTCGGCCTATCTTGCGCTCACTAGAATCGTCTCTTTTTTTTTTGTCTCCAGATGAGTGCCTCGCTCGATGTCTGTATCGGGAGGGAAGGAAAGGAGAGAAGGAAAGGGGGTATGATTCATGTCAAGTTGAATTGCGTCAGCTCAAAAATCCGGTCGAATGCTCTCTGAGTTGCCGCTCGGCAGACGTTTTGCTCCATTTTGAATCCAGTAATCGTCTCCGTGCTTGGTCCAAGCCGTGGAATGTCGTATGCGAAGCCAAGTGGGCGAGTATCTTGCCCTTTCTTCCACCGTCATGACGTCACGTCGGCCCTCTAACGCGACGTTTCGTCGGAGAAACCCTGCACCCCTCACAACTGCCACCACTGATTGAGGAAAAAACGCCCCGCTCCTCTCCGCGCTGTGGCAAAATACGTACCTGGGGGGTGCGAAACAGCCCTATCTGTGAAATTTGTTTGCGGTGCAACAAGCGCCGCATCCTGTACGGGGTGAAGTGGAGTAGTTTTAGGCCCTTTTGATGTTCTACCCGGGTGTCACCCACGCTCATCCCCCTTCTCCATGAGTGTTGTTCTTGCACGCCGTAACATTTTCCCCGCGTTTTCGTGCCAGGGAGTTGGAGGAACTGAAGCTCGCCTGTGCCGAGATGGAGCGGTCGCAAATGCGGACGGAGCGACAGATGCAGGCCTTTGCAACCGGGTGAGCATCCTGGGTGATAGTATTGGTGGACGACAATAGCCGCCTCGCATGTGGTGGCTATGCCGGCCCGCGTGTGTGCTCTTCCGTGCCGTGGTTCTCTCGAACGGAAGCGGTTTCATGTATTGAGGATATGTGCGTCGGGAATCGTCGGGGATGTACCGCGCCTCCGTGATTGTTTTGTTTCGTTGCCGGTGGCGGCCAGTGATGCGTAGGTGGCCAGTGTTGGAAGATTTAGAAGAGTGTTATCTCGATCGATGTGTTTCCCTTGTCGCATTACAGGGCACGATTCGATCAACTCCCCCTCCGATATGTATTTGTACAATCACATCACACAGCTTTTTTGTGGTATGAAGAATGCCAGTAGCAGGTAATCAAGTTTTGGTCACGTTTATGATGTTGTTGCAGAAGGTGTAACGCCTTGAATGCTTGGCACTCACGACTGCTGCAGTTGTGGACGCTTTCGGGTTCACCATCAATCGCGCTCCCCGATTCTCCGTGAAAGCGTGTTGTTTTTTTTTCGCGTCGACCACTCTCACCCGCTGACAAATGAAATGACGTCAATCTCAGTCTCAAACGGGCGTTTGTGTGTGTGAAAGGTTGCTGGGTTGCGTGGAGACCTCGATGGACGGAGCCCTCGCCTCAACGGCGGCCGCCCTAGCCCTTGCGGCCTTCGGACTGGCCCTGCAGGCGGTGCACCTGGACGGGTCCGGGCGGCCCACAGCCGTGGCGGCGGCGGGAGCAGCGGCAGCAGGGGAGGGGGACGGGGACCTCGCCGGGGGAACACGGTTCGCGCCGCGAATCATGCAGGTGCTTCATTTTCCGCGATTGTTACGTTGCATGGCCCCCAACGGAGGGAGAGCAGAGGTGGTTGCAACTAGACCTAAGTGGGGAGGGAGCAACGGCGGTTGCAGCAAGACCATGTGATTTTACGACGATGCCAGAAAAGAGACTACGGCCTGTGTATTGTATTTGACCGAGGATTGGGGGCACCGAGTTCACGGCGCGCAGGTTATTCTTGCAGTATACATTACCTGTCGTCTCCCACGCCGGCCTTCGTTAAGTCACCTATACCTTATCGCCTGCCCTTCGATTTCGCTCTCACTCTCTCACTCTCTCACTCTATCGCCACACCGTCCTCAAGGCGATGCTGATCGCCCTCGTGACGATAGCTCTCCGGTCCTACGCCAATGGCCGCGAGGCTGTAGGTCGGGCGATCGAGGCTGCGAAGGGGTTATGCTGCGGCGAGACGATGCCGTCGTCAGGGTTCGGCCAGGGGTGGGAAGGAGGAAGTGGTGGGGCGATGGGGAAGGCGGCTGCAGCAGACGCTTTTGCGGTGCCATTATTGCATCCGGGGCAGGTGCGCGGTGGTGGAAAAGTTAACGTGTTGCATACAGTATCAGTCGACTCCTCTGATTTCTCTCTTGTGTAGGAGGACGCTTTCCCACGCTGGGTTGCTTAGGGTGGGGCACCCCTGGCTTGTTCGAATTGGGTGATCTGGTTCGGAGATTATCCGCAAGATGCTGTGCACGTGTCCGCCATGATGTCCGCCATGTGTTCCTGTGTATGTAAAGCTGGCAAGGGGTTTCATGGTACGAGTGATTGTCCATATCCAGAACGCCGCGCGCAACAGCTTGACCTTCTTCTCTGTCTGATCTGATACACCAAAACGTCTAGATAGTCTTGCTGCGTGCCTGTGTCGGTCGCAGCTGACCTTGTATACAGCCAATCAAGCACTCACAATCTCGCACTGGGTCGCAGCTGACGTTGTGAATAGCCAATCAACCCCCCTCCGAATTCACAATCTCGCACTGGCCCATCCCTTCGCAACAACAATAAAAGGCGAACGAGCTCCTCCGGACGACCGTCGGCAACGGCACCCGCAGCCGAAGCACCACAGAGTCAACGCCCTCCGCCGGATCGCTCAACATTCTCAGTCGCGTGGCCTCCAACAAACCCCCAGCCCTGCCCCCGCAGCCGGCGGACCCCCCGCAGCTGGCAGAGCGCAGCCGCGGCGGTCCGATGTCGTCGGACTCTTGTCCGGCCCCGCTACCGGACTCGTCATCCGACGTGATGAGTCGCGACAGTAGTGTCGCCGTCGCCGGTGCCGATTCCGCGGCGCGTGTGTCGGCGTCTGTGGCTGTCGGGGAGGGGGCGGCAGGCGTTGAGGCTAGTGGTACGGATAAGGACAAGGGGGGTGGGGTAATTGACGGGGGCGGTGATGTTGCGGCGGCAGGCGGCGTAAGAGGAGAGGTGAGGGAGGTGGTTGACCTGTGCCTCGCCCACACGTGCGTGCGTGTGATTCGTGCAAGAGGGGGCTTCGGTTGTGTGCGTTCATACGTGGAAACAAGAGAGAGTATCGCATGTTGTTTTCGCATGATTTATTTTGTCGGGCTGTGGATGATTTGATTTGTCCCGCTGTGCCTACTCGCTCCACGGAGGAGGCGGAGGGAGAATCTCACCGCTATCCTGAAAAACGCCCTCGTCCGCCACTTTTCTCCTAGGCTGCGAGTGCCCGTCTCTCTTATTTCTTGATCCTTATCCGCGCATACGCCACGACCACCACCATCTGCAGATTTCCCACGCTAACGTGTACGATTCCACCCCCGTTCACGCGATTGCCGCTGACTGGGTACCCCTCTCCTTACTTACGCGACTATCGCTCCCCCCAATGTCTGAAACCCCGAACCTCACCTTCACACTTTAATCAGAGGCCCGAGCTGGCAAGCTTGCCTCCGGAAAAGGAGTGGCCGCACCACCCCATCTTCGTCAGACTCAGCCCTTCCGTCGGAGATCAGGTGAACAGAATTAACCTTGCGCGATCCTCTGGGTTTGGAAGCGGTGGCGGGCGCGTGGTCGTGTTGAAAACGTGTTGGGGTGCTGTCCAACAACTTGTGTCGTATTATGCCCGCCCGCCCGCCCGTTTACCCCCCCGTCACCCATTCTGCAAAATGACATCTGTATCGGGGGTGCAGTAATGTAAATGCATGCCGTAGTCGTTAAACCATGGCCCGCGCATGCCGGGACGGAGCGATATGCCACGTTTTCGCCGGCCCAACCTGTAGAGGGGTGTGGGCCATGCGGGTTGCCTAATGACCGGTTTCCGGTTTTTCCATACACCGCAGGGCGAGACTTGCATGTGTCGGCGTTTCTGAGAATGAGAAATATTAGTCTAGACGATAAATAGTAGCTTTTGTTGCGTGTCGACCTTCTCTCCCCTCCTCGCGTTTCCTGCGAGACAGGTGAGGTTAGACGGCCACAAGCCCAACTCGTCTATCCCGGTGAACAGCGACGACATCGCCGTACCGTTCGAGACGCCGCTTTTCAAAGGTCGTCTTCTGGTGCGAGTGGCGGGGCTGCCTGGAGACGGAGCGCAGGACTACTTCCGGGGAAAGAAACGGCTCATGCAGTGCGCTGTGCAGGTATGCAAGCACGTTTGTAGTGTGTGGGCCATGGGTTTCGATACTGTTGGCATCGTCCGCGCGGGACAGGTTACTGGAGTGAAAATATGTCCGTCGCCAGCTAGGCGAGACACGCAAGAGAGCGTACTAGTGCGTGCGTGTGTGTTCTAACTCCCGGCTGACGGATGTCAAGGCGTCAGTATCGGTGGGGCACACACGCCGAACGCTATATCTTGTCCACAAGGTCCTCCAGTGTTTGAGCCGTTCAGGAGACCTGCATGCGTGTAGTTTTTCTTGCTGTCGACGGACCTAATGGCCCGCTGCTATCCATAACGCCGTCTGAGCGTCAGCGCGAAGTGCAAGAGCATTCTCCTCACGTGCGATAGACATTGTTGGCCTTATGAGGATCGTATTCACACGGTTTTGCCTCGTCGACAAAATCGAGATCCATGCTACGCGATTCGCCTCTATCACGCCTGTCTGTGTCCGCTGCAGGGCGAGTTTAAGAAGGAGCTTCCGTTCGACCGAGTCTACACTGGACAGGCGTACGACCGGCCTTTCACGCAGCTGCCCGCGAAGTGGCTCATCCGCTCGGCGTTCTCCTTGATACGGAGACTTTCTCCCGCCCTTCGGGAGGACATCACCGGCGAGCGGCCGTATATGGTCAGCCCACTGGCGGCGACGGCCCAGTCCATGCGTGCCGAAGCGCCCGGTAAGCTGGTGCACTTCAAAGGAAGTGCACGATGGATTAAGAACTTAGCTCGGCTGTGTTGGAGAACAATATAGATACGTACGATCAAAGCAGTACTCCCCGATCGAGATATAACCGCAGTCGGAGGGGGATGGGGGAATGTTGCCTGTTTCGATGGATTGATCTGCGTTAATAAGAAGAGACGAACGTTGAGGACGAAATGACATTCGAGTTTCGGAGTGTTGGTGAAGGATGAACGGCCGTGTAGGCATCCCCGGCCGCCGTTCCGCAGTGGTTTGTTCTGAACGATCACCCCATGATGAATGTTATGTTTCCCATGAGATGAGCGTACGAAGGCATGTGCCGTGCCTCTCGTGGTTGGAAGTGGTTCGTCCATCGCCGAAACCTCCGTCAAACCCCATTTGGCCGAGCAGAAGGAGCCAAAACGAAAGCGTTTTATGGGACCGTCCAATACAGGGTTTCCGGTATCTCGGCCGGTCCAGTTGGGAAGTCCTCCAGCCGGTGAGACCGCCACGTTTTCAGCCGGTCCTAAAAGGGATCAATGGCACCCCAAGTCAACCCAATCAACCAGCCTCAACACCCCAAAGCAGAGCCTGCATGAAATCGAGCCTCTCCTCACAAACCACGTTTCCCCCCAACGATTTGGTTTTTTTTCGACCACCAGGAGACGAGGTTGCCATCGTGGGCGACCTTGGCGAGGAGACCGGTCTGCTGGGAGAGTCGTTCATGGACAGCTGCGTCCCGTCTTCCGCCCGGAAAAAGTTTTTCAACAACCCGAGAAACCTCAAGGCCTACTCCTTCAAGCCTGGTGAGCAAAGATCCGTTCCGTTGGCCGGGGTGTCGGTTTCAGAAACGCTGCGGTGTACCGTGTCTTCGTCTGTGATTTTTTTGGCTGTTGTCGGCCTTACCCTTGCCCAGCATGTATACATCATTGCGATGTTTTTCGTGCTTCGGCACATCTTTGTCCGGCGGCAGCACACGTTTTCACCAGCCAAGGGCACGCAGGCGGTGCTTCAGTACCGCGCATACCCGAGAGACTGTCAGACATACGTGGCACGTTCGATCGATGCCTAGAGTCGCTGCGACCGGCTCTATTTCGCGAGGAGGCGTTCCGAATCCGAACAAAACCTTCGCAGGAACCAGACTTGTTTGCATTACCAGGAACACCGTTTCTAATAGTGCGCAACAAACACATCCCTAGATACCTTGAGATACCTGAGCAACGCGGTGCAAAGACACAAGAGGGAGCTAGCGAAAGCAGCGCTTTACAGCAGTAGGATCTTCGGCAAGCACCTGATATGAAGTGCATGTGAGGTACGTTTGCCAAACCTTAAGAGGTGCATGTGTTCTACACCTTGTGATGGATATTTTGGTCGTCGTTTTGTGCCACGATCCGCAGGCGTGGTCTACACCTTCGACTTCTACCAGCACTTGTACAACGCGGTAACGTTCGAGCTCGACCTCGGCTTCCGGAAAGTGAAGCTCGCCGACTACCTCAACCACCAACCGGCACAGGTAAGGATCAACAACAAATTCGGTTCTAGATCACCGTAGCATTGTGACGGGAGGTTCTTCTTAGAGACCGGTGATGTGCCCGCTCGATATCTCCGCAACCGGCCGTGCGAAATCATGCGATGTTCTCTGTCTTGGAGGTTGTTGATATGGTGTGCTGTGTGGCTGATTGTCTTTGCTGCGCACGTCAGAGTGGGTTTGGTTTGTTGACGTTGGCGGCGTTTCTACCCGCGACTGCTGTGCTAGTCACGGCGATTCTATGATAGTGTGTCCCGTCAGAAGCAGGGGTGAACCCGCGCGTTGTTGTAGTCACTTCTGACAGCCTCTACCTCCATGAACAGCACAACCCAGCTTAAACCGGCCTCTTCCTCGTTCGGCCGAAGCCATACCTATAATAGTAGTCACCACAGCATCCTTCATGCACCGACCAACCCGCCGATCCCCCCCCCGTCCGG